GTAATCTAGTTCAATACTTCGGAAATTATGTGTAGGTATTATTGAATATTTTTTGACTGATTTATGGTGATATGTACTGTAAGAAGAGTTTATTTATACTTAACAAGAATTTGTAATAAAATTCATAAAATATATTATGTAACATAGAAGTACGAAGTTGCGGGAAAAAGTTAATTATGAATTTTTCTACCTAAATTACGATATAATTCTTTAAAGAAGTAGGCCATTAATATCGAATCACTTATAATTAAAGCCAGTATATATTCTGGGATTTTAGTTATTATTTAATTTGTAGTTAAAATATACGAAAGTAACCAGTGCACAAAAGCAATTTAGTATAACTAAAAGTTGTTATTTATATTAAAAACTAGCATTGCCCGCGGCTCCGCCAGCGTTCAGATGACCAAAAACCAAATTCTTAGGTTTTACATATTAGTATACTCTTACAATGCAGTTTTTGTATTTTTTTTCAGAAACGAGATATTTTCCCGCGACAAAAAGTATCCTATATGTTGACCCGGATAACCAGCTACCATCATACCGTATTTCATCAAAATCTCTCCAGTGGTTTTTCCGTGATGCGAAAAATTCTAAAAACTATAGATTCGGCCTTTGTATCGATAATAATGTCTATTTCAATAAGATTTTCTAAAAAATATTTAATGTACATATACGACTTGGTTACAATTTTATTATATGTATAGATAGATGTATACATTAATTGCATATACATAGGTGTTCCGTATAAGTACCTACTCGTATAACTAAAATTAGGGGCATGTCAGTTTTGCACATTACAAACACCATTTTACAATTTGGGTACTAAGGGACAAAGACAAACAAGCGTTAACAACAATAAAAATCGTTAAAACGAGTTTTAAATTAAGGTCAACAGTACATTGTGTTAGCGAGTAATTGCTTCGTAAAGCGTAGGTACAGAGCTGTACCTAGCGGAAGTGAAATTACATTACTTTAAAATTTTCACCTCTAGGTCAAACTTTTTAAGGGCACCATATAAAAAAAGTGTAAAATTTTACATTGTTGTATTTATATTAGATAGTGTTGTAGTATCCTACTATGTTAATAAAAATATCCAGACCATCAGAAAAAAAATCTATAACAAAGTACATAAATCAGTATGAATCATTATATTATGAGTCTGAAGCTATAAATTGAAATTGCCAGATGAGAATTCTATGATGAATGATCATGAAAATAGGCTGACTTCCTCATTAGACTCAATAAACATGATAAACTAGCATTCGACCATCAATACAGTAATAATATCATTACTTTAATATAGCTTCTTCAGTTGGTTTAGATTAATAGATATATTATGTTGAATATATTAAATAAAATTAATGATTGCATGGAACTAGGAAATCGATCTATTATTAAGCTTTAATATATATATTTTTAAATTCCGTTTCGTGTCTAATGAGTCTGACGAAACCACTTTAATAAGCTTTCTTTGAACTTCCTTCCGTCTTTTCTTCATAGTTGCTATTATGGTGGCAAGTTGTTAATATTAAAAATAAATAGTACAATTATTGAATGAGGGTGTAGCGTATAATAATAATTATTATTAATATATAATATTAACATACGAATAATTTAGGTTTCAAATCATAAGTTTTATTTTGCTTATAATCTGTATAAATCTGTACCGTTTCCGTCATCATGAGAGGCAACACGCTCTCCTGGCCGTCGCTAAGACGCTTGCATACCAATATATATTTTATGTTACCTTGTAACAATCCATGTGCAAATTACAATAAACTAGTGTTCCTAACAGTTATAAAATCAAGTTTTTTCATTTGTCTCCAAATGCGACAAGCGTTACATATGAGCCGAAAACTTGATTATAGTACAAGGTAATGATAGCCCAACGGTAACTCGCTCGCTTGGGTAACCGAGAGAATCTGGTTCAAATCGCGTTAAATCACGTTAAAGAGACTGAATAGTGAATACATATAAATAAAACGTTGAGATAAAAACCGAATGTAAACTGTCTAAATATAACTACGAGAAGTACTGGTGGTAATCAACATAATATCCTATTTTTGATTCTGTACGAAGTTGTTGTATAGAAAATATTCCGTAACGAAGATAAAGTTGTCATAAAAAATATTCTTTATGTGATTACGTAGATGGCTTATATATGGGTATACGCCTTGATTATGACGCTTTTTAATAAGCAACAGCGCAGAATAGGCTAGACTTGTAAAGCTTAGAATTGATTATAAAGTGAAGTCGGCGTCCTACTACTTTTGATGTTTAATTTCACAGACTATAATATATGTACAATTGTGGATACTGGTACTTAACTAAGAATAAATGTCTCGTCTAATATTCTTAAATAGTCATCGTTTACTGAGTTTTTAAATAATAATATTATATATATATATATATATATATATATATATATATATATTATATTATATATTATATATATATATATATATATATATATATAATATATTAATAGGTATGTCAGGGGTGGTGGTGGTGTTTGTTTAAAAATCTGGAAAATAGAAAAGTATAGTACTTTTTATTTTGTATGGAAACTACTAAGAATTACAACAATGCCTGAGACTTCTATTTTCAACGTAGTAATGGCATTATCTTAAAATTCTGGATAAGTTTCTTATATTTTTTGTTCATTAACAATTACCACATTCCAAAAACCGTTATGAACACTAAGAGAAATCGATAGATCTCCAAAGTACTTATTATTATTCGTTTGTTTCTGTTCTTCGTAGATGTAACTGTATAGGTATGCTTCTAAGGAAAGCCAATATTGTCATCATACCAGATTGTTGCGGGTTAGGTGATAACGCTACCATGAAGATTCTTTTAGTATGCGATAAATATATGATGAATTTAGACGTATATTGGCAGCATTATTAAATAATACTTGTAGTAATATTAGAGATTTTATGTATACGTGACAATAACTAGTGCCCAAGGGATAATAAATGTCTATTTGTAAGAAAAAATCTTAGTATGCCATTCCTACTACAGTGACGTTAGTACATTATAAATATTATTAAGATAATAAGTTGAGAGAAACGTAGTTGTAGAATTTTTGTATTCAGTATTTATTTATTTATTTTCGAACAGGCAAGAAAAAGCTATTTAAATACTTTATTCCACAAGAAATATCAAAATATCAAAGTATATTTAACGCAAACAGAATCAAATACGAGCGAAATCGTTTCAATGACACAAAGAATTCGCAATCCCAAGTATTTTCTCAGACAGAGCGCGCTTAACAAAGTTATCTTTCGCTAATTTTGCGACCCCCTGCTTCATCAAAAGCTCGTCTATGTTTAAAGGTTTCGTCCGACCCTTTTTTATTTTGTTCATAAAATAGTGATTATTGAGATTGATATAATTTATATTATCCTTTCATAAAATTAAAAGAAAACGCGTCTTTGACAAACCATAAAAGTATGAAATGACTCTAAATATAAAAGTTATACTATTAAGAATATTGACTATCCATTTCCTAGGTTTATTATTAGATCACCTCGATGGTATCGAGCATTTGTCGTCCTGATTTCATATTATTACTTCGCTTCGCTCGAGTGCGCCCCTCGGTGCCTTTTGCATTTATAATATTACAGACTCGCACTCGCTTCTTCACTCAAAACCTCGACTTTCCTTTACTTTCTTTAAATATAATACACCTACCAAAGGATTTTCATACATATTTCATTTGGGTCGTCCTGTCAATATGGAAAAAAAATATTGAAATCATCTCTTATTGTAGCGATTTGAGGGATATTTTTTTATAAAACGTTAAGATATTTCTTGCCTAAAGCATAAATACGAATATTTATGTATGCGTCTCATTTAAGAAATGGTGGATTTCTCATAGAATTGTTGCATCCCTCATTTAACCCCCTGCAAGTTTTATTTTTAAAAACATAATCTAAGTCCTTTTGTTTATAAAATTGTATTTATTGTATTCATCAAAATTGGTTTTGTGGTCTAAACGTGAAAACGTAACCAACAGACAGTTATTTTCGCATTTATAATATAGTAGTTGGTTTAAATTTTTTATTTGGGAGTTCTCATTTCATGGTTACAAATTCGGCTTGCGAAACTTTACAAATCGATCATCATCCCTTCCGGTCACATTATATTCTACGAGCAAATTGAAAACCGCTATTTAAGCGTGAATTTGAGAGAGACTGTAACTAATGAATGTAATTTAAATTAGATAAATTCCATTTAATTTTAATTTTGTAAGCCAATTTTAAGCTTCTCTTCGTACTATTTTAAACACTGTCAAAAGTTGCCCGGCGCCGTCCAGCCGGAGTTTTGCGAACGGCAATTGTTTTTGGTGCATAAGTTGGATCAAACAATATTTTAAATTGTATCTATATATCCAAATTCTTCTATGATTTCATTGAAAATCACTTCCATTTTGTTGCTTTCTTAGATTACTTTCGTAGATTTACGTGAATATTGGATCATATAATATATTAAAAAAAATACTTATTTTATCGGATTTTTTTGCGCGTTTATTTTGACTTTTGCTTGCCGACGTTTCGAATATTTTTTAGCTAACATTCATGGGAGAGACATGGTTGATGATTCCTACTAATTTGTTTTTAAAAAACAAGGATATAAATTAAATAATAATCATTATTTTTCCGGCAATGTCGCAATGTGTCGTAACTCAGACTCTCTTCCCACTCGGCTCGGCGATCCCTTCCTCTCTCTCCGCGTTGCTTAACCAGTTACGGGGGTGATACCGCCAACTTGCCAACTGTGGGCTATTACTGAGAGTATCTTAACAAAAAAATCTTAGTAATTCAACTTGGCTCGTGCCATGACCGAGACTCGAACCCAGGACCTCCAGGATCCGCAGCCGTACATGCTAGCCACTCGACCACCAAGGCATTTTGATGAAAATTACATAATAACCAATAAATCTATAGATATAAGGTTAAGGAGTGAAAGGCTTATTTAATAGCAGCAGAAACTTTATGAATATTCCAGCGTGCGATCCAACAAAAGTTGCTGTCGAAGTACAAACTTTAATGACATGTTTGATGTTTATGAGTTCTGTTTATAACGTGACAGTTACGACTTTGTTGTCTAGCTATTTTAAATATCAACATATTCCGTGAGTGGTAATCGTACTTAACATATTACGTTTTAGTGTTAGTTTCTCTGAACGTAACATTTATAACGCCTCTTAAAAATAATTGGATAAAAACTATTAACAAATAATATAAACTAATTTTCAAGCAGGCTTTATATTAATAACATGTAATTAACGATGTCCTTAACATATTTCAGATGATCATCTCACTTTAGTGTACAATTTTTTAAGTGTTCGTCTTTGTTGTTTTAAAAAAAATATTTCACTTACCCCTAATGACTAAAATTATATGGCATGGCAAAATGAGCAGAATCGCTTAAAAATAATCGCAAAATTAGTGCTAATTTAGTGCCAAAAGCTAAAATTTGATGCTCTTATAGATTGGCAGAAAATTTGAAAACTGCTAGCTTAATTAAAAGCTGTGTATAGTCCCTGAAGCGCTGTAATTAACTCGATATAGCACTAAGGCAAAGTACGGAATATTTAATGCTCAATGAGTGATGGCGATATGTGATTAGCAAATTAGCAAAAAACTTTATTTTTGAATAATCAAAACTGCTAGTATGATAGTCTTAGCCAGTTACAAGTTACACTGCTAGCTTAATCAAAAGTTAGCGGTTTTCTAATGTTCTGCCAATATATAAGAGCTTCAAATTTTAGCTCTTGGCACTAAATTATCACTAAATGAGCACTAATTTTGCGCTTATTTTTAAGCGATTGTACTCATTTTGCCATCCTAGCTTTACAGATGTTCCAAAGTTGCTAATAGGTGAGTGACACACCAGAGTAGCCCCTATAAGATCCCAGCAGTACCGATTAAGGGAGCAATTACTATGATTGAGTTGTCCGTTTGTTCACAGTCCGGCAAGAGAACGAGCGGCTGATGCACGACGTCCTTCAGGCGGGAATCGCCAATCGCACCCAGTCGTTGGGGGCAAAGCGCTGACACCGCGCTACTCGCCGCCGCCGCGGCTCGACAAAATCAGGCCTGCCGCCGCACCCCCAGAAGAGCCCCCAGAGCTCTCTCCTAGCGTGGACATACCTTACCCTCATGTCGATACGCAGTCTATGTCCACAGGTGAAGCGCATACGCAGGTGAATCAAGCCACTACGAGCCCTGCGTGATTCTTTTACATACCGAACTCGCTCTCAGGCCTTCTGAGTCGGTATACGCACAAACTGTGGCGGTCATAGGGCTTTCGTGAATTGAGTGGTTAAGTGTAGTTAGATATTGTGAAATTATGAATGAATTAATACGAAATGTTATTTGTTATAATACATATATAATGAGATTGTATTTGTATGGAGATAGACAGTACTACTGATGTTTAGGTAAGCGTAATATAGATTAAATTATGAATTATTGTATGTGGTTAAATAATAATAATTAATATAATCCCTTAATTGTACGGCGAATGAATCGAAAATAAATTAAAATCTATATTAATAATGTCGAATATCATATTAACGTGCACTATTGCCTACAAAAAATATTATTAATTTTAACACAACTTTATAATGAAGTTTACTGTTCTAAATTACGGGATCAACTAACTTGATAACAAATGTAATGTAGTCAATTTCACTGTTGGGTTTATTGGTCAATTCATATGGAGACTTTTTTTATTTGAATTTATTATTGTGTAATATACACCTTATGGGGATAATTATTTCATATAAAAATGTATTTTTTGTGATTGAACAATAATTTCCTTACAAATATGTGTTAACTTTTACAAAGGTAACTTTAGAGAGAGAGAGTTTCTCTATTAAGTTTATTGAATAAAAGATTTTACAAAGAAGTTCGTTCTGACTTTACAAAGCGTTTAATGGCTCAAAAGTTAACGTGATATGTGGTTATTTATTATTAGTGCATATCTACGAGTTGTTCTCAAAAACAGACCAAACGTTAACGAATATATTTATTCCATTTTTTACGTAAAAACATATATATGTGTATGAATTAAAGAGTATAAATTGAAAAAGTTTTCCAATGTAAATTCAATCAATCATCCAACAAAGCTACAAAGCTCAAAGCTTATTCGATGTTATATTAAGAGATATTTTAAAAGCACAAAATACTTGTGTCCGATGTAAACAATAGAACGTTTCAGTAATTGATTTTAAAAATACATACATATGTTAAATGTATGTTACACGCGATGGAAGTTGATTGAATATATTACGTTTTAAATTGACGTAGAAATAATATGATTTATTAAAACATTGTTTGATGGCAAAAAAAAACAACAATGTTAATGCTCATTATAATTTATCTTTTCCTATTTTCTTTCATATTTTTCCCTATTTCAAGAATTTGTCTAAAAACTACAATAAAGATTTAAATAAAAAAAGCTTCCCATAAATTATTGTTTGGTTTTTAAAACATTCTTAGTAATAATAGGAGTAATATTTCTAGTCAATTTTACATACTTTCATCAAATAAACATTTTGATTGGATGGAGAAACTGTACTGTGGTGAAAATTAACAATGAGTCTGTCTGTCAAGTCTAGTCAATGAGCTTCTAACCTGTGCTTTTATCAGATAAGAATAAGAGCTTTTGTATTGTAGTTATTGTAGAAACTATCAATATTGTAATACAGAACAATGAAAATTGAATACTACCTATTGTATTGTAAGGCATAAAATCAATGCATGCTTCAGTAGCTTTGTCGTATTCAACCACGGACTTGAATGCACCGGCTGAATAAAGTATATCGAACCTACTTATTATTCACACATTTATATTTAATATTACAACTTCAACGTATATTACAACTGTTTTATTTGAAATCTATTGCCAATGAACTTGGTAAGCTTCAAGTTAACTATGACTTACCTGTCAGTACGTTATAACACTTTATATGTATGTATATTGTGAAGAACCGAATCGAATTGTTAAGAAATGACTTGTATGGCGAAATATATATAATTTACTGACAGGCCTAAAGCTTTTTATCTATTTTGTCTTGAGTTAAACTCGTATTATTATTATTAAGTATTTAAATACATATATATATAAGTGATTGTTAAATATTCCGTAACCTTAAAAGATTAGGATTTCATAATATTTCTTTATCATAAGGCAAAGAAATTGTTTCTTTTTTATAATGCACTAAATTACCTACACTACGATAACTATTAAAACAAGAGAGATATTTCTTAAGTAGTAATAAAATTAATAAATGTATCTGCATCGCTTTGGTAGATTTTTTTACATATTACAACATTTAATCCTAATTTTTAGTAACGATGTAGTTGATGATGCTATTTTTCTGTTTAAAATTGTTAAAGGGGTTGTTTTTTATGACGTATGAAAAAAAATGTTTACTTAGATTTACGCGAATATTTGACATTTTAAATAAAACTATCTTTTCGGATTTTTTCGCGGATTTATTTGGATTTTTGGTTCCCGACGTTTCGAATGCTTTACAGCATTCATGGTCACGGGAGGGACTGAGGTGTTAGATGTCTCGAAGGTATAGTTGTTACAGACAGCGTACCCACAAATAACAAAATGAAAATTGCACCGATTACCTTACAACATTTTTTAACTTTAACATTTTTATAATTTTAATTATAATTGAATATGGAATATTATTTATTTAATTTTTGCTGTTATCAGTCTCTCCCGTGACCATGAATGCTGTAAAGCATTCGAAACGTCTAACAACAAAACACACTGTAACTAAGTCATACAATTTAAATATACTCAAGGCCCTGTAAAAATGTTCCTAATATGGACATTAAAATATATTTTCTAATGAAGTCAGAACATAAATGTATTATATTTAAGTGTATCTACGAGTATACTCTCTCTATGTTTAACTTACGTATAGATAGGTCTAATATTGAATGTTCGTATGAAAAGTGTACGTTTGTTCAACCTTATAGAAATTACATCCGTCTATATACACTGTCTGTAGAAATCATAAATATTGGTGTGTATACTATACTGTATAATTAAATGTTTGATGTAAAATTATTCTTTTTGTTTCGTGTTCACTACTGAGTTAAACTTCTAAAAAAACCACGCAAAATTAGGGTAACGAAATTATTTTTTACGTCAAAGTATTTTAAAACGAAAATCGAATATTATAATAATAGTTTCTGTTCGAACTAGATCGAAATCTTATATCTGTTATCGAAAGAATCTTAAAGTGAACACGAAACTTTGGATAGTTACGAATATATGTATGTATGTATTGAAAGTTATTGTACGTATTAGTGTTAACCTCGATTTACATCCCCTCCTGTCTTCAAGTGATACGTTAAGATACGTGTTTAAAAGTTTTATTGCAAGATCTGGTGTTTTATAAACTCTCTTCTAACGCGATCTCTCTCCACTCGGCTATACTAACACTTTTCCAATGCAGGACCTATTGACGTATACTAGCATTAGAGGAAACCAAGAATTTTATAGTTGTTTGTTGTAAATGTCAGTTTTAATTAATCTATTTTACAAAAAAATGTTTAATAAAATACTTTATAAATACGATGTGTTATCATTTTCGATGTTAATGCTCCAAGTTGGGGTTATTATGTGGGCGATTTCACAAAGGGGTTAAGTTGTGAGAAAGGCTTTGAAAAGGTGGGCTGGAGCGGGCGCATTCCTCCTGAGGCGCCATCTCAACTATGTGGCCGGATGTTGCGATGCGCTCCGTGTTTGCCCCACCCAGGCACTTCATACAACGATACAATACACATTTTAACATACCTTTGGTCTTGTTGATTATGTTTTTAAAATAAAATATGCTAAACATACGTAATGTGACGATTAAAAAATACTTTGCTTAATATTAAATAAATTTATTTATTTGAATTCAATTCTTTGTTTTATCTCTGTATCGAAAATAATGTTTATTTTAATAAGATTTTCCAAAAAATATTTAATGTACAGATTCGGCTTAGTTACAATTTTATTATATGTATAGATTATCATTTATTTAACAAAAGAATGTATTTAAAAAAGATGATCAAGATAAACTTTTAACATAAAAGATAATATTACAGTAATGAAAGTTACTTACCCCTATTATTACAATATGTATGTGTAGCGAAAATGAAAATCGTAAAGAAAGCATCGCTTCAAATTTGACGTTGAACAAACAATGAGAAAACAATGAGTTACGTCCTACTTTATTATTTTTTACTATATTCGTATGTTTGTTTGCAACATACATTAATCATTATTAATAGTAGGTACTTATATTGATAATGTATACATATAATAAAATTCTAACTAAGCCGAATCTGTACATTGAATATTTTTTGGAAAATCTTATTGCAACAGACATTATTATCGGTACAGAGGCCGAATCTATAGTTTTTAGAATTTTTGTCTGTCTGTTACCGCATCCCAGAAAAACCACTGGAGGGATTTTGATGAAATTTGGTATGGTGATAGCTGGTTATCCGGTTCAACATATAGGATACTTTTTACCGCGGGAAAATGTCTCATTTCGGAGAAAAAATACAAAAACTGCAATGTAAGAGTATACTAATATGTAAAACCTAAGAATTTGGTTTTTGGTCATCTGAACGCGGGCAGAGCCGCGGGCAATGCTAGTAAGTAATAATTACTTAGCTTAGGTGTTATTAGGACTTTTTAATTTTGGCAAATTAATTCAAGTAACAAAAATAATGTAGTTATTATAACTCTTTTATATTATAACATTTAGCTCAGCGCCTCGTTGTTTTTTATTTTATTATTTAAATTAAAAAAAATAGTATTTAAATTTTATTATTTAAAAACATAATATATTATTTGTCACAATAATATCATTATTTGTCACAAAATAATATTTTGTGAATTATATTAAATATTTTTCTTTTTTAAGATTTTAAAACTACATTTTAATATTATTATGAAGAAAAGTTTTATTCATTAAAATAATTAATTGTTAATTTTATACGAAATTAATTTTATGTGAAATCTATAGACAATATGTTCTATAATAGTAGGTTTTAAGTAATTGGCAGTTGGCTTAAAATGTTTTTATAAACAAACAATGTTACATTATTATAATATATACTTAATAAGACCCGCCCTTCATTATTTTGGCCAACTCGTGCCAAAAACTTATAAAACTATCTCTATCCCGCGATATGCCATTCCTTT